GAGAGAGAGAGAGAGAGAGAGAGAGAGAGAGAGAGAGAGAGAGAGAGAGAGAGAGAGAGAGAGAGAGAGAGAGAGTAACCAATGGGCCTATCTTTGCTCCATGCCGCAGGCAGGCTGCGTAGAGAAGGAATGTTAGTATCATGGGCTTCTCGCTTCTTCTCAGGGAGTGCACACAGTCAGACTTTTTTCCTGGATACATCCTAGATTCATTTGAAGAAGCTCTTGCGTGCGCACATGCCCTTCCTCAAAAATGTAAACAAGCAGAACATTCTCTGAGCTTCCCAAGTGACGTAGGGACTATCTATACGGCCTAAAAGGCTAAAACTTTCTATTGAAAACTTCTAGAATCTATATTCATTCATTTTGCAGGGAAAGCTGAAGGAAATTGGATGGAGGGGAATGCAAGGAGGAGATGGAAGCAAGAAATGGAAGCAAGGAATGGAAGCAGGAAATCGAAGGAAGAGATGAAGAGATGGAACAGATGGAAGAGATGGCAGCGATGGCAGCGATGGCAGCGATGGAAGAGATGGAAGAGATGGAAGAGATGGAAGAGATGGAAGTAGATGGAAGAGATGGGAGGAGGTAGAGATGGGAGGAGGTAGTAACTGAAGACGGATGGATGTGTTTAGCAGAGCTGCCATCCATCTATTTTTTTTCATACATACCCCTCGTTTGTTGTCCTCTTCTCCCTTCCTCCCTCCCTCTACAACAACCTGGGCTTCTATATATAGTCAAACAGAGCTGCCGACGGTAAACCGTAGGGAGGGAGGGAGGAGAAGAGGACAACAAACGAGGGGCTATATGGAAAAAAAAAAGATGAATGGCCAGGATCACAGATCAGATTGGTCGCGAGATGATGAATATGCCTACCTTATCACAGACGATGAGGCCGAAGGATCACATAGGCAAAATGCAAGGGGACACGCTTTATCCATACGTCGCAGTAGCGATTGGCAGATTGCCTCTCACTATTTTGGTGCACGCAGACCATACGTAGCGGTAGCGATTGCCTTCGCATTACCCGCGGCAGGACCCCAGTCAAAGCAGTCAAGGAGTTAATAAAGCACTGCTGCACTTAGCTAGCCTTTTTCATGAACCTCCTCCCGTTGATATCTCTGATGCTGGAAGGATAGCACTTCTCTCTTGCTGACGGTCAGCGGCCAGTTTACGGCTGGTCGAAAAACAACAGTCCCCTTTTTAATCAGCCAGGCCCAAATTTTAATAACACGCTTGCTGCTTGTCTGTGCCGCAACCTCCTCTTCATGGTTCCTTCTTCTGGTCCTTGTCCTTTTCGTTCCCTTCTCCTCGACCTGCTCATCTCCCTTCCCTGGGTTCTCGGCCTTCTCCTTCTCCTCCACCTCCTCCTTGTCCGCCTCCTCCTCCCCTCTTCCTCTCCGCCTTATAGCCTGTACATAGCCTATCTCTCTCTCACCCCTGTGCTCGCTCTTCCTACTCCTTTTTCTTTCTTTTTGTGGTTCTCCTCCTTCTTTCTCCTCCTCCTCCTCCTGTCCTTCATGTGACATAGACAGTACATAGAAACTACCTCTTGCACTCTTGTTGTCATCCTCGTCCTTCTTATCTTCCT